GTGCACATCACTCCACTATTCCCTGCACGTGCTGGTTCCCAGACCTCTGAGCAGCCCCCGGGAGGATTTTGCTGCCAGTCTCCCATGAGCTCTGCAGGGAGGAATACCACATTCAGTATTTGCACCCACCAATCCACCTCCCAAGAGGCTGATGGATTTGCGGTCCCGTTGGCAGCACTGAGCTGAAGCGACACACACAGAGCTCGAGAGCAGAGCTCGGGAGCCAGCTCCATGCCCATCTGCCCAGGAGGAAGATGTTTGAATAGCAGCAAAGCAGCCAGGGATATAAGGTCTGAGCCATTTGTCCGGGGGGTGATCCTGCACCCCGGGTCAGTGTGTTCTCCTGCCTGCTGCAGGTGTTTAGATGAAAGGCTACAYGCTCGTTTTTCAGCAAACTGGGCTATGCGTGCCTTGGACGGAGGCTGCTGTCTGATTTATTACAGCCTCGGCTCTAGGTGTCCTGGGAGAGTAAGTCCTGGCAGAGGATGAGAGGCGAGCGTGTGTGCGGACGGGTTGGAGCGAACAAAACGCAGCATTGTAGTAGGGCGGCCTGGCACGCGCCGGAGCCGGCAGCGGGGGGATGAATGAGTGCTCGGCCCGCGCCGCATTCCTTCGTCCTCGCCGTCCCCTCTYGCTCCGGAGCGCAGGGCGGGCCGGCTGCCCGGCACGCTCCGGCTGCCTCTGCAGCCGCAAGGCAGACAAAGCCGGAGCGGGGAGCAGAGCCGGCGGCTGCAGGGAGCACCGGGAGAGGGACCTGCCCTCTGCGCCACCCTCTGCGAGCGCCTCCTCCAAAAAGGGTGTTTTTTGCAGGCATGGTTTTCTGTGCACGGGGGGGACAGCTATCAGATCCATCTCAGGTTCTTCTCCGAACAGCCTTTCCTTCAGCTAGCTGGAAATGGGGTGTTCAAGATGTCATTGGACTCTTTCAGGTCACCCCCTGCRCCACTTCACATCAGAAAGCCAGATCTCTGGTGTCGGTAGGAAACTCGCAGTTTTTAATCAGATGTGATACGATTTCAAAAACAACTCGCCATGCAAGGAGCCTCCCCGAGTTTCCTTCCCCGCCTCCACCTGCTTTCCTGGGCCTGGCATCAGCCTTGGGCACTGGGCAGCCAGCCCAGCCCTCCTGGRGCTGCCCTCTCCCTCGGGGATGCCGCGGCTCTGCAGGGCCTGGGTGTCGTGTCTCTTAGCAGCATTGGGGCCTTTTCAGAAGCAGCTTATCAGCGGGTTCAAGCAGGCAGGGCACTGATGTGCACTCGTGGCCGTGACTCACTCTGTGCCGGCAGATACCGCAGCGCTGCCCCGCGCTCACCGCCTGCTCTCCTCACCGTGCTCCCGTGCCCCGCTCCAGCCCTGCTCAGCCTGCACGGGCTCTGTGCAGGACGGCTGGGACCCTGTCCCCGACGGGCTCTGGCCTGCAGCTTGACATGGCTCTAGGTTACTGGGCTAACCATCTATTGATGATGGACCTACAGCCCGTTGCTGTGAGCTCCTCCCCATCGGAATGCATTTTATTTGCACAGCCCTTCTGTAGATCTAGCAGCACRCTTGTCCCTGATACAGAGCCGGGCAGCTGAGTCACAGGGACACACACTGCTTCCCACTCTCCCCTCCTCTCAGTCCTGCTGTTGACCCAGCAGATTATCCCATCCTGCAAGCAGGGGTTTTCATGATAACTGAGGGAGGGGAAATGGCCTTTGCTTGCAGGCTTCTGCTGGAGGAGAAAATAATCACACGAGAAGTATTTTAGCCCTAATTTGTATATTCAGATTTTCATCTCTTCTGGGGCCTAAGGTGATGAATCAGATGTTCCCAGGGGAGGTGGCAAGTGTTTTTGCTCAGTGACCATTGCACGTRGATCAGGTTCCTCCAGCTCGTCTTCTCCCTCAGTTTAACTGGGGCACGCACCCTTGTTTCGCCCCCATTCTTGCTGAGCAGGACGAGCTGAGAAGTCAGCTCATGGTGCCAAGCAGTGACTTGYTGGATGAGCAGCTTGCTCCTCCATGGCCAGCCCTGGAGCCTGCACTGGTGCAGCCCACGCCGGCGCGCAGGGCTCTGCTTCCCTCTCGTGGCAGGTCTGCACCAGCGTGCAAGTCTCCGACATCCCAGGTGAAAGGGCTGGATATTTCCCCTATCCACTCGTGTCCTTGGTTTCCGTGCCTTGGCCACCCCCAGCTCTCCCCTGCCCATGCAAACCCGTGGCAGGGCAGCCCCACRCCTGCCCCATGGGGCACTGCAGGGCCCACGGGGGTTTGCTTGGTGCAGTCACCCGTTCACCACAACCTCGCTGTGCTCAGAGGTGCTTGGAGCTGAGCACGCCTCTGCATGCAGAGCTCGCTCCCTTTGCTCAGCACCATCCCCAGGTATTTACCTTTTGCTTTTAAGTGAAGCCTTTCTGCTGCCACCAGGGAAAAACTTATTATAGGCAGACTTACATCACGCCTGGGGAATGACTGGAAATGAAGCCAACTCACTAGAGACAGCTGTCTAAAAGTTGAAGCTGTTTTCTCCCCAATAATCTGTTTTCAATTTCTCCTGCAGCCCTTTGAGCCAAGAACAGAACAAAACAAGAGCTCCAGGAGATCCTATAGAATATTAACTGGGCCAGGGCCCTGGATTAGATGAATTAAAGCGTCTCCAGAAATTTCCAGAAATTTCCACCAGGCCGGACAATTTAGGGTGCCGCTCTCCTTCTCGGATCCTAAATCAGAGCATGAAAACAGCTCCTGCACCACCCMGGACTGCTCATGGGCAGTAGGGAGGAACGATGCCAGGCGGTATCAGCCATCTGAGSTACCACACATGGTGTCAGTATATCTGGGGGAGAGAACAGATCTCCTTGACTGCAGCATCACCCCTAGGGCACGGTCCTACCACTCAGTAGATCAGATCACCTGGAGAGAAAGAGAGGGCAGGCTGAGGGCAGATGATCTCCTATGGCCTCGAGCCCCCTTGACCACTGGGCGTAACTGCCCCAGGCCACAGGGACTCACCACGCTCTGTGTCAGCATCATGGTGGCCGAAGCCCATGCCACCCGCTGCTCCCCGCTCAGCCTGTCCCCATCCCCATGGAGCCCGTCCATGTTCCTAATGCTCTTCTGGGAGCTTTGTCCCCTCTGAGCACAGAGCAGGGCCTGGCCCTGGCCCTGCGGTGGGGACGACAGCCCTATGTCAAAGCGCCCTTGCAACGAAGGGCCAAGAATGCCCTTACCCCCCCAAAATTGCAAAGATCTTGCAGTATCTGTCCACGGTGGCCTCCTTCCTTCTCCCTTTGGCCGCACTATGGGCGGTGGGAAGTGAGCACAGCACCAGCCTGAGACACGCTGTCCTCAGCTCAACCGTGTCCTCCGGCAGCCCGGGGAGACACGTGGCCTGTAATCCAGTTGCAGGTGGGGCGGCCGCGCATGGAGGCAGCTTGGTCCCCRCGGGACATGTGTGACCATAGCTGGTCCCACCACCACCTTCCCGGGTGAGGAGTGACTTGTGCTGCCAACAGACCGCCAGGCAGGTCCAGCTGCCCATGGCCACCAGACACGTGTGTCCAAAGCTCCCAGGGACAGGTCAAGCTACACAACCTAGGCCTGGCAGCACAACTGCACCTTCTGGGTGTGGGACAAGGTGTGAAGCGAGGCCAGAGGAGCCCGCGTGGGAGCTGGAGGCTGGAATTGTGCTCCAGACCCCGCGGCCGCCCCGGGAACGGCGAGGTGTCCAAATAGCTTCACRCCCTTGGCTTACAGGAAGCTCAGCTGCTGTTTGCTCGAGTATTTCCTAAGCAAAAGCCCTGCCAGGAGGGATGTGTGGGGGAGTGTGTGTTCTGGGTAGGATATGGCACGTTTCCCTCTGCTCCACCCCATCCTGAGAGCAATRGGTTGCAATGGGAGCAATGGGTTGCTTCTCCCTGGTGAGCTGGCCTGGACYGGCTAGTCCAGCTCTGGGAGGCTCAGCTAGGTCTAAGCAAGGCTCCAGCACCAGGAAGACTACCTTCTAGCTCCATCCTGGACACTTGCGTCTCCTAAAGAGGCTTCTACTTGCAGGACAACCATGCCAAAAGCCCTCAGAAGCACCACATTGCCCTGTGGTCTCCTGCTGCCTTATCTCCGGCCCTCTTCAGGCTGCCTCTSGCTGATAACTCGTGCCCCGAAAACGTGAGCAGGGGCATCATCCTGGCGAGGTTCYTGTCTTAGCTGCTGTGGCTGGTTCTGACTTCTCCAAGCTCCTTCTCCCAGCAGCACCGACGTGAGAGGGAAAGGGCTGCTGCTGCTGGAAGCATGGAGCCAGCTCTSATGGGAGCCCCGCTCTGATTTTGTGCTTGTGTCACACTTGGCTTTTAATTTGCCACCTTGACTTTAGGAGAGTGAAACAGGCCACAAGGGAAGTACAAACTTATGAAGCAGGTTCTGCAGAACCCTTCCCACAGCCTGCYCATGCCGTGCCCCTGCAGGAGGTGAGCTGGCTGCCTCCAAGGTGATCACCTTCAAGGACCACCTGCATTATCCTGAGGTCCTGCAGGCCCCAGAGCAGCCTGAAGCTCCTCTAGCACATTTCAAGCTTGTCCATAACGGGTTAACACCTTAGCACGGCCTAACAGACAGTGCTGAATCAGGACCTTAGCCCTCGGTGTTAGCATCTTAATCCGGTTAGGGGATCGGCACGGCAGGCGCACAGTGACCTACATCGCTTGCTGACGGCTACATCCTGAGATGCCGCTGAGAGCAGGACACCTGGGCCACCAGCACGCTGTGATCCAGCCCAGTGCACACCAGCACTTCCTCTATTTGTCTCAGAAATACCCCAAAATGAGAAAATGCAGCCKGTTCACAAGGCAGACCTGACAGGGCACTAACGAGCCTTAATGGCGCTGACCAGGCTCACCTGGGTCACAGTGTCACAGACCCCACACACCTGCCCATGGCCCAGGAGCTCTATTTAAGCTCAGCCTGGTTCAGTTGCCTCTTGCTTTGACTGTGTTGGAGGAGTGCTGCTCTCTAGCTTGGTCATGACTATGGGTTTGTCTGGCTGTTGCTGGGCCTGACCTGCAGATGGGCTTCCTGGTTTGATCTTGGACCTGCCTCATCACTGTGAGCCTGCCTGGTGGTCAGGACTCTAGGCTGACCCTTGCTGTGGGGCTGGGGCCTGGCTGGTGAGGCTCCTGTCCACCCAGCCATGTTACTGCCATATTTCCATGCTCTCCCATCCCAAGAGAGCTGATGACAATCCGCATCTGGACAATCCTTGGGTAGGTACTCTTTGGGTTTTTCTGCTACAGAGATTAACGTGTTTTTTTTGTGCAGGCTGATGTTGTGCTAGTGGCTTGAGGGCTGTGGATTCTTTTGGAGCAGTGCTTGGAGATGGCATCAGGTGCTAGCACCCATTCAGGTCTTCTGGTTGCTCTGGGTGATGTCCAGGCAGTCATAGGCCCTTTGGGAAGGTACGTGACTAGTAGGCAATGGTTGGCTTAGTGCCCTGGGTGCTCCGGCTAGACAAGTCCTTCAGGAAGGAAGGATCCCTGGATCAGCCCCTCTGGCCTCCTGCATATGAACTAGTGCTRGAGGCAGGGAGGACAGTCCCAGCCAAAGCAGGGACAAGTGGGTGCTGTGGACTGGGTGCTCCAGTCCTGCTCCTCTGACAAGGAGCACAGTGGCCATATCCTGTCCATGGTCTGCATCTCCTCATGCATGGAGGACTTTTGGGGCTGTAAGAGCCTTATTTAGCATATGGCTGCATTTCAGCTCAAACCACAGGCAGTCTGTGCTCCTTAGCATGGATTCCTGCTCTTCTAGAGCTTTCTGGGCTGTGCAGATGCAGTGTTTTCAGCAGGAAAATGTTGATTTCATAAACAGTACAGCAGTCATAGCAACCACCTGATTAAGGCAGTGATAAAGATGGATAAACTGGCTCAGGATCAGGCTAATGAAAATCAGCCTGACCTCAAACCTCATTTCTAAGGCTCTGCAAGAGCTGCATGCTCTACAGGGCAAGCTCAGTGTTGGTCTTCTAGGAAGAGATGAGTCTGTAGAGCACATATGGTTGCTCAGCAGATAGACAAGTCTTGCTGTACCCCTCCCCAGCCTGGAGATTGGCTCTTTTGACCTGCACTAACAACTTTTTTTTTTTTTTTTTTTTTTTTTGGTAGGAAGCAACCTATGTGTTATTTTTACCCTAAAATTTCTTTAAATGCAAATGAAGACCCTGAGTTGTTCCTTCTGGTGTAATGGCATCTCTTCCAAGAGGCTGTGCCTGCAGCAGGGCACTAAAACCCACCACGTGCTCCCAGCAGGGCTGTTGTGGTCAGGGAAAGGTGGGTTTTGTTTGTGTATTTAGGGAGATGTTAAAGGATGCCCAAGAGGTGAAAGGTTTGAGAGCCAGAGTTCACCTTGYTGCATGGACCCTGGTTTCCCTCCCTGTGGCTAACTTGCATGTTCACATGTTTGGTTTCTGCCCAGGAAATCTTGCATTTAGGTAAAAATCCCTTATGAAGTTTTGGAAAGCTGGAAAATGTCTTGCAGTTGYTGACCCTGCTGGGATTTCTTAAGCTAACAGGAGCAGCACCGCAGACCTGGCAAATACCACACTGGGCCACCCCACCCCAGCCCTGCTGGGAACGTGTGGTGGCTTTTAGTGCCTCACATCCCCCTGCCGCTCCGGAGCTGCTCGCTGCTCCGGGCCCTTCCGTGGCACCTTTCCCTCTCCCGGAGGCACGGGCTGGCGGCGTGCCGAAGGTCTCCCCATCCCCGGCCTGGCTGATCCCTGCACGAGGCTCTTGCAAACCCTGTCCCTCTCTGCTGTAAACACAGCTGGGGCAGGAGAAGAGGAAACCTCCTTTTCCAACCATTTGTGGTAGCGCTCCTGCATGCRGGCCAGACCGTTTGCTTTGCTTACATACCAGCAGGAGCAATAATAATGTTTTACATCGATACTGTGGCTTCCATCCCTGGGGCTCGCTGCAGGCCAAGGCCTGGGCTAGGGCTCTCCTTGGGCGAGCAGGTGGATTTGAGCCTTGCAGAACAGGCTGATGGGCCCTGCGGCTACCACAGAAATGTTGCTGTCACATCAGTGCCYTCTGGGTGCTTTGGGTCTTATCTCCATTTGACTACATGACTCCCAGATGCTTGTTCTGCAGAGCACCTTATGATTCATAGTGCAGATCTGCTCTCAACTGTTGGTGAGGCTGAAGGAGCAGCCTTCTCCATGGAGGTTGCTCTGAGCATCCCCGAGCACCTTCATGTGACAGGACACCCCCTGCTCACACAGTGCCCTGGGGATCGTGTGTTTTGTAGGAATAGCTCAGGCTGAGCTGGGGCTGTCCCCTTACCCCAAGGATGCAGGAATAAAATTCAGGAGGGTCTTGGTGGTCCCATTCATGTGGTGGGACTGCATGTGGGACTGTGGGGCCTGGAGCTTTGCAGGGTTGGGAGGGGAGGGAACGGAGCACCCAGGTCAGGGAAAGAACAAACCAAACCCTGTGCTGGGATTGCAGGAGCTAAAAGCAGGTGTGTGAGGGACTAAAGGAGATGCAAAGCCATGTGTGAAACACATGCCCTGCGAGCAGGGCAAGCGCTGAGGGGGATGCCGGATCCTCAACTTCAACAACTAAATCCATTTTCGGTTATGAAGGCATTGCTGTGCGACTCGGCACCGCAGGCAAATTCCGCGCGCGTGTGCCAGACCTGCGAGCGCGGCTATTATTTTATCGCGCTCACATTGTCCCTTGATGTTATCTGCGGAGGGGCCACCCCGCATTCCCGCCGGCGCTTGGCGGGTTTGGAGCTGGGCAGCGCGGGGCAGGAGCGGCGCTGGGCGGGCCCGGGGCGGCGCTCGGGGCTGCCGGGCCGCGCGGCTCCCTCCCCGGGGCGGAGCGGGAGCCGCGGGAGCAGCGCGGAGAGCTTGGAGCGCGGGAGCAGCATGGAGCGCGGGCCGCGCGGCTTCGGGGACCCCAAGGTGAGGCTGCGGGGCTCCCCCGACGGCGGGAAGCGGGACGCGGCCCGTGTCCCCGGCGGGGCTGGCGGCTGCCCCGAGAGCGCGCTCCGTTCTAGGGCCGGCTCCGGAGCCGCGCGGGCACGTGCGGGAGCCCTGGGGGCGTCCCCTGCACCCCGCACACCTGCACCGCGCGTGTCCCGGCACCCGGAGCTCTCTGTGCACCCTTAGTGTCCCCTGCACCC